ACAGATGTTCTCATTCACAGCCCTATCTAATCCTGTTGGGCCCTTGCCATGGTGTCTCGTAGCTTGAGTTCTACGAGTTAATTACGTGCAGTGCAAAGAAGCATTTCCTTTTATCATTGAAAAAAGGTTGCCTTTTAAAACGCCTTGAATGTCCCTTTGTCCCCGTGTTTTAAGGACCACTGAAGAGGAGCACCTGTCTGACCTTCTCGGCGCTCTGCGTTACTTGGCACCCCTCCACCGTCTCTTGGCAAGGCATTCCTAATCTTTTCCGTCCTCAGATGGGTGCCTCTCCCTGCCTTTCACTGCAGTTCCCCAGCTGAGGACGTGCTATTGATTTCTGTAGTGCCATGATATCACATTCACTGTCACTCTCTACCCCTTTCATAACACAGCTTCCCATCTTGTGGCTCTTCTGAGCTCCGTTGCAATCAGCCAGATGTTTCATTGACTCCCAGATCTTTCCCTGGAGTGGTTGCAGTTAATTGGGACCCTTCAGTGTGTATGAGCCATCCTGTTCCCTCCTTCCAATTATGCAGCCTTCTGTGCACCGGATTTTGGCTGCTAGCCCCTCATCCATTCGGCCAGTTTGGGTCTGTCTCGCAGAAGACCAACACATCTGGACCAGCCAAGTTGCAGGGAGTCACCTAGAAATGCTTTTAGGTCCCTGCTTTCCACTCCACGATTAAGTTACAAGAAAAATCGGCTTTTATGGGCAGAGGCACCCCAGCGCTACTTAAAACCTCACCATAGATTCCTGCTCCTTGTTTCCTCCTCCACAGCCTCGTTTTCAAGCAGCAAATAATTTTGTTTTCCCCTAGAAATTCCTGATAATTTCTGCCAGGAAAAAAAAGATATTTCTTTAAGATTTTCTGAAAGAACCAAATCCTGATGGTTATTTCCTTCCCCCAGTGCTCTGTGGACCAACACAGACCTCCTGTTTCCTTGCACCAACATAATTCCTCTTTGCTCCTCTCTCATCTCACTGCACCCTTGCACCCTCCTCTGTGGGGTGATCCTTTCAAGCAAGGCATGAGGATACAGTAGAAAAATCACCTGTTATCCCCCTTATTATCCCCAACCATGTCCCAGACACCCTCCTTTCCTGATCAGTGAGGTTCTCTCAGCCCTGGGGCCCCAAGTGCAGGGCACTCTGACCCTCTGCATCGTGGTGGGTGACAGATAGATAGATCCTTGCACTCAGGGAAGTTCAGGCCTGAAAAGTTGTTTTGTGAGTTCAAAGGTGCCCATCAGGAAGGGGATGGCCAAGGGCTGTTTGCACCAATCACACCCCCACTGCGACTCTCCTGCAGTCTTTTCCCTATTTGGGGTTACAGCCCAAAGGAATTTGAACTGTACTCGAAAAATCAGCATCAAGCACCGGCAGCCCAGCCACTCCACGGCTGGGGAAGGAGAAGAGCCTGTAATTGCTGGCTGCAAGTGTTTGCACTGGCCAGGGAACTGCAAATTACCTTTAATTGCTCCTAATTGCTGGCGCTGGTTCAGTTTCCCTAGGACAGGGACGGCAGATACACATCTACAGACACTGCCTAGACCACCTCCTGCCTCCCTGCACCACGAGGGCTGAGTTGCTGCTGATTCAGAGAGTTTTCTGGAAGACAGACAAGTCAGACTAGGGTCAGGCTCTGGAGGAGCCAGAGTGCTCTGCCCAGGGCAGTGGTCATGGACACGCAGGGTCCCGTGCCCCGACCAAAAGTTGGGCACTGGTGACACAAAGCACATCCCTACAGCTAGAGGGGATTTACCCCACCGTGTGTCAGCATGAGCTGTCAGAGATCAGCCAGGGCTTTGTCCTGGTGAGGTCCTGGACCACGAGCTGGTGAGTCCCAGCTCCTCCACGACTTGTCTACTCTGCAACCTTGGGCACATCACACGTGCCTGTGGGGACACAGGTGACACTCGTGCTGCAGAGCCCTCCCAGGAGCCCAGACTGGGGAGAGAGGAGACAACCTCAGACAGACTAGGCTGTAAAAATAACCCAGCAGCTCTGGACAAGCTGTGCCGAGGCATTACCTCATGAGGGAAGGAAGCAGCAGCATCACTATTTATTTATGTGGTGTCCAGAAGAGCGCTCTGTGCTCTGCAGCCCGGCCTCCAAGAGCCTGATTCTGTAAATCTTACTCATCACCAAGACTTTTTTTGCTGCTTTTCCAAAACTCTCTCATCCAAGCAGTCCCACTGCAATCGGTGCAATCCGTTCACGAGGGGGAGGATTACTCACAGGATGGGGGTTTGCAGGCCATGCCTGCAACCAGCACGCAGCCCCAGAGGGGACGCCTGAAACATGAGGCATGTTCCTCCCCATCCTCCTGCCCTTTGCCTCTTCTTGTGTAACCCTTCCCTGATTTGCTTATTTTTGTATTAACTCCTGCCTCTCTGCTCTTCAACTCTTTTCTGTCCTGGCTCTTCTGCACTCTTTCACTTAATGTGTTTTTATTTCCTCTCCCCCAGCATTAGCAAAGCCATCCCCTGGGGCTGCAGTGTGCAAGTTTTCCCACCTAAACATCCCTCTGCTCTCTGAACTCATCACCAGCCACACTCATTTCATGTTGAAGTTTATTCAATCAAAATTAAGTCTAGAAGAGCAAATTTTCTGCTGTGGCCAGGTTTGCAAGCAGCTATTTCCCAGGGACAGCTCACAGCAGGGGAGAGAGCAGGACTCTTAACCAAAAAAACCAAATCAGAAGTGTTAGGATAAGAAGAGGAAAGAAGCAAAAGCTTTGTTGGTTTCTTGAAGGTTTTTTTTTCCCCTCCCATGTGAAAAACTATTGGGTTTTGGCAAGGCTTCATCTCTTCCCATCCAAGACTGGTGGAGTCAGGGATGGCAGCAGTTTGCTGGTGCTCTGGGAAGGGCTGCCCAGGGATGGGATATCCCACACAGGGAGAAGGGGAAATCCCAGTGCAAGGAGGCCAGAGGAACTACCCAAACCCTTCTGGGAGGGGGTCAAACTGGGAGCTGCTGGTACAGGGAAGCTGGAGCAGGATCGTGCTGGGGTGGGTTGGAGGGAAGCTCCAGCCAAACATCAAAGCTTGGACACCCAACACAAATGAATGTGGGATGTGATTTGTTGTCCCCAAATGAGGCAGATTTAAGGTGTCTCAGAGCCAGGGGGTTGCCAGACAAACCAAGAATCATTGCAGGGTCCAGATCAAACCCTCATGGGAGTGATATGCCCAGGTTGGAGCATTTGGGGGTGTTTTAAGCCACTGGAGCCCAGGGAGACACTCATACTGGTCCTGACCCACAGACCAGCCCCCTCCAGGTTTTGGGCAGTGGGGCACGTTTCCCCCCAAACCCCCTTTCTAGCAGGCAGCTCCCCTGAGGGGCAGAAGGAGAGCAGGATCAGTGCTCCCCTGGGAGGGATTTGGCTGGCTCCTTCCCGAGGATGCTGCAGAAG